AAATAAAACAAAAATTAGTCTTAGCTTTGGTAATTTTTTTTTTTTTTTGCTTATTTTTTTAAATTTGTTATTTAGGTGCCCCAAGAAGTTCTAACGGTCTTGTCGCAGAGCACCGCGGAAGTAAATTTAACCAGGAAGTTCACGCCTTTTTCCTTACCGTGACGCGAAATATGTCCAAAGCTCTTTTCGAACCTAGATCTCCTGCTTATAAAATAAGCGCAATAACCACTGCGCCACAGCCGCACAGTATACATAGAGAACATTTTTTAAATTTTATAGTTAAATGCACTTCCGCAGTACTCTGTGATAAGACCGCGTTAGGACTTCTTGGGGCACCTAAAATAACAAATAAAAAAAATGAAAAAAAGAGAAAATATTGAGGATTCCTTCAACCCAAAACTAATACATACGTTAATTTTGGTTTGAAGGAGTCCTTAATATTTTCTCTATATATTATTAATGAAAAAAGTATCTTGTATTTGAATATAATAAGAATAGATGTAAGTATTGATGGGTTGCTTTTCAAAAAGCTCATTAAATAACTTTAGGCCAATTTTATGTTCTTTTGTGAATATTAAGTGTTTTAGTTTTACACTATATAAGTGTTGTAGCTTTATACTTGATATATAATAGTTAAATTTATCTGCAGAGTATCTTCTTTACTTTGTTTGCGAGATTAATGACTTTCAATACAATGTGTTTAAAGTAGGAAAAAAAACTTATAAACTTTGTATTAGAGCTTTTTTATTGATGCCCCGGCAAAAAGATTTACTAAAAAGATTTAGGTTTATACTAGAAAACATGGCTGCGAAAAATGCACTGTGATTAATGTTTATTAGAGCAATCAAACAGTATTTTTAAATGACTAGTGTGAAGCTCGAACTGAAAACACATTACGCTAAAGATAGTCCTCTATTCCAAATATCCAGGCTAAACATAATATCTGATGTTGTCCTGGACCACGTGCATCTAGTGTATTTAGGAGTTGTTCGACGCTTTTTACATTTTCTGATTATGTCTGGCAAGGCTAAAATCAGTCTAGCACAACCTAGCCTTATTTCTGGTAGATTAATTAGTTATGCAGATTTCACCCTATCTGAATTTTTTCCATATATTTTTTACAACTACATAGCTTTAACAATACATACTTTTATTACAAATAGTTTTAACAATATATACTTTTATTACAAATACAGTCAAAATGCTTTGAAAATAACTGAAATAATACTAAGATATATTTGATGTACAAAGTAATAAAATAATGTAAAATAGTTTTTCAGTTTATATTTTGAAAAGACAAAAAAAGTCATAAAAAAGGAAAAATTAAACCTTTAGTTATGTAGTCAAGGAAAACTCGCAGAAAACTGTGTAAAGTCTTTTCATTGAGAACCCTTTTCTTAAACAATTTCATGAGATACTCATAAATATTTTATTCATTACTTATTATATTTTTCAATATAATTAGTCGTGTTTTTAGGAAGGAGCATAACATAAACTACTATGTATATATGTATATTCATACTCTTTTTTTTGTACATGATTTTGATATTTTAATTACTCATAAGTTATTGGAAAATTTCCATATAACTGCTTGTATTTAAGACAAGTTTTTTAAGATAAGATTTTAAGGAATTTATATTTTTCAGGAGAGATATTGAGGAATTTTTTGGTATTAATTTGTTATACAAGTAAGGACCACAACATGCTATTGAGAATTGAGAGAGTTTTCTTTTTTTAAGGGGTACTATATAGTTTCCAGTTGCTCTAGTGCTAAATTTGTTTATATTAGTTTTAAAAAAGTTATTCATAAATCGACTTGGAATAATTCCCATTTTATGTTTGAACATAAACAAAATATTTTGATATCTATTAATTTGGTAAATGTTTAAAGCATTCATCTGTTTTAGTAATGGGTTTGCGTGAGTAAGTTTGTTTTTATAAAAAATAATTCTTGAGGCGAGTTTCTGTCGTCTATAGAGTGAACTTAATTTAGTTTTATGGGTACTTGCCCATGCTATATTGGCATATGATAGATAGTTGTGTATAAAGGAAAAATAAAGAAGTTTTAAATTTTCGAACGATAAATAATTTCTTGCTTTATAGAGTAGACCAATGTTTTTTGAGACTTTTTTAATAATGGTATTTATGTGAGAGTTCCAAGATAATTTCTCGTCAAGAAGCACACCAAGAAATTTAGATGATTGAGTTCGTTCAATAATTGTGCTCTCTATACTAAGAGTTGGTAAAACTGATGGTATAGCCTTTTTTTTTGGTTGGGGTGAAATAAGATGTATTTAGTTTTGTTTAAGTTTAATGACAACTTGTTAGCTCTGAACCATGTGCTAAGTTTAATAAGTTCTAAGTTTGCGGTTATAAAGAGGTCACTGATTGAGTTAGAAGAATAAAACAGATTAGTTTCGTCTGCAAAAATTATGCAATCTAACTTAGATGAGACTTTAGGGAGGTTGTTGACATAAATCAAAAATAGAAGAGGAGCTAGAATAGATCTTTGAGGAACCCCACATTTGATTTTTAGTTGTTTCAAGTTGTTATAGTGATCTATGGTAACACATTGTTGTCTGTTGTCTAGGTAGTTGGCGAACCATTTTATAGTTTGATTTTTTATGCCATATTTTTCCGTTTTTCTTAGTAGTATTGTGTGGTCTACTGTGTCAAACGCCTTTGTAAGATCAATAAAGACTCCTAATACAAATTTTCAATCATTAAAGGAAGTTGTAATGTTATTAATGAGATCTAGAATAGCATGTTATGTTGAATGTTGCGTTTGAAACCTGTATTGATTTTCACTTGAGATTTTGTGTTCTATTAAATATTTATACAGTCTGTTGTAAACTATTCTTTCAAGGAGTTTAGAAAAATAGGAAGAATTGAGATTGGTCTATAATTGCTAATTGCAGATGTATCTCCACCTTTAAATATAGGTACAATTTTTGCTATTTTTAATTTGTCTGGAACAATTCCGTTTTTGATTTATTACAGAAAAAATATAAAGCACAACATTACCAGAGATGTCATCAATACCTGGGGCCTTATTCTTTTTAATTGATTTGATTGCTGTTTCTAGTTCATCAAAAGTTAAATTACTATCTGGCAATGGGCTTTCAAAATCGCTAAAATAATTTTGAAACGATGTTTCTGAGTCTTTTATTTTTGATGCAAGGTTTAGACCAGTGTTTACAAAAAAATGATTAAATATTTCTGATACATTTTTTTTGTTTTTGTATTCAATATCGTTTTCCGTTGTTCTGGAGGGTAAAATGTCAGATACTATTTTATTTTTACCACTGATTTCTTTCATAACTTCCCACGTTTACTTTATGGTACCATTATTATTTTTTAATTGTTGAAAATAATATCTTTTTTTACATTTATTTTTTATTTTTTCAAACAGATTTTTATATTTTTTATAGGCATTAAGATTAGCTTCGTTTCTGTTTTTTAAATATTTGATGTATAATTTTTGCTTTTTTCTTTGAAGATTTTCTTATTGCGCGTGTAATCCAAGAGCATTATAAATATTTTGTATTGACTTCTATTTCTTGTATTGGAAAATGTTTGTTATAATATTCAAGAAAGATGTCGAGAAATAGATTATAAGCGGAATTTGTGTGTCCAAGGTTACATTCTTGGTATACATTTATCCAATTTATAGTTGATAAAGATTCGTTAAATTTAAGCATAGAATGTTCATTCATTTTTCGTTTTAAGACTTTGATTTTAGAATTATCATTTATGGTTGCATGTTCAGCAAAAGAAAAGAAAATAGGAAAATGATCCGAAATATCAGTTTTAATTATTCCTGTTTTAATAGACTTATCTAGAAAAGAGTTAGTTAGAATATTATCTAAAGCACTAATGGAAGTTGTTGTAACACGAGTTGGTTTGTTAATAATTGGGATTATGCCGTGTTGAAACATATTGTCAAAAAAGATTTTAGTATTAGGGTGTTCATTGTACTTTAAACTATCTATGTTGATGTCACCGATGCAGAGTAAACGTTTTTGTTCATTATTGCTTTTGATTAAAATTTGTTGCCTATAATTTGAAAACTGAATAACAAGTAGAAACTACAACGTTTTTTGTATTTTTAATTATTATCTCAATTGTTAGGACCTCTTGTCTGAATTAGAGATCGAGAAGTCTTTTCTAATTTTGATATCGTGGTCATTACGAATGTAAACTAAAATTCCGCCCCCCCCCCCTTTTTGAGCGTGTTTCTCTCAGATGAAATTATTTTATAATAAGGAATCTGAAAATTTGAATTTTTTTGAGCTGACTCATCATCACACCATGATTCTGTGAGACAAATCATGTTAAATAAAAAATTGGATTCTAAAAGAAAGTGTTTTAGTTTGTCTATATTTAAACTTAAACTTCTACCCAGCAGGCACAGACATCAATCAGACGTCAAACGAACGTCTTAACTAGGTCGCGACGTCTCAGACCAAATTAGGACGTCCTAAAGATGTCCGGTAAAGACGTCTTTGGTTAAGACGTCCTAGTGGCGTTAACATAAAGACGTTATCAGGACTTCTAAATTAAAACGTCCTACTGACGTCTCTACGAGCTTCTTTAGACGTCCTAATTACCTTAGAAATAAGTTGTCTCAAAGACGTTTAATGGACGTCTTCAATAAAAATTTAAATTAAAAGAAGAAAAATTTATTTATAACTTAGCGCATAAAATATTAAGGGTCTGCGTCTCAGAACGGTACAAGACGAAACGAAACAAAACGATGAAAAATATCGTTTCGATAAAACCGTTACGAAACGAAACAATTTTTATCTTTTTTCGCAAAATACGGTACGAAAAGAAATAAAATTTTCTGGTTTCGTGATAAATACGGGACACATTTTTTGTTTTGAAAAAACCGGTACGAAACGAAATAAGATTAAACTTTTTCCGAAATAAAACGGTAAAAAACGAAACAAACAAACAAGAAATTTCTGAGTTTTATGAGAAATACTAATGTTTTTACGACAGATAGGGCTAGCATAAAATAAAAAAGTAATTTACTTTTATATTGTACCAATTTAAGCACACATTTGCGATTTTTACGAAAAATCAGTTTTTATTTAGACAATTATATTTCACGATTTTAAAATTTCACAATAAAAAGTAAAACATTTTTATTTTAATACTTGTTGAGTGTCACTTTCGGATGTTTTTTCGGATGATGTTGCTTCGGATTCTTCTGGAATTTCCATTGTTTTTCTTTTGATTCCTGAAGATGTTGGTGTTGATGGTAAAGAAGAAGAACATAATGGCGTTGTTGAAACGTTTTTTGTTTTGAACAATAACCTTTTTTGGTTATTTAAAAAACTGCTTTAGGAATAGGATTTTTGGGAGGTGTTCTAACTGGAGTTAATGCTGGGGGGTCCAGGGCTTCTTCAGCGTCGCTTATAATTTTCAAGGTCATGTGAGGACAGACAAGATCATAATTGACTTTAATCAAAGTCAATTGCTTTGCTTTCTTAGTGGAAAGACTGTGTCTTTTATCATTTATAATTCCACCGCTGGCGCTGAACACTCTCTCACTACAGCTTGATGCAGCTGGAATGCAGAGCAAATTTGTTGCCAATTGTGCTAACAATGGCAAAGTAGAGGCATGTTTCTTCCACCATTTCAGCACATCAACTTTATGATTTTCTTCAACACAAGGCATAGCGTGGAAAGATTCAAACTCCCTTTCAATTTCCGGTACATTTTGACTAATGGTGTGGTTATTATTACCCTGTTCAATCTCTATATTTTGTAAATCGTCGCACTCATCCACACCAACTGGCATTTTAACTTGTGTAGCTTTATGATTATTTTTTTTCACTGATCGAAACAGCGTCCGACGATGGATGATCGTTGATGACTTTTCTGGTGAACTTTTCGAAGATACCGTAATGTCTAAGCATATATCCTGAAATCATAAACAATAACTGTTAAATTTAGTCTTTTAACAAATAAAGAATATTAAAGAATGTTTTTTTTACCAAGAAATAAAACTTATAACCTCTAAAGTACGGATGAAGAAGGTTTCCCAAGGCATAGTGTTGGTTGTATCTTCCATGTTCATTGAATCGCGTGGCTAGGTGTAAATGCTCACTTAGTTTTTTACAAAAAGCATTAACTATTTCTCTGTTTTCCATATCAATGTGGTCATGAAGAAAATTGTCAGTTTTATAAAGCATAGTTAGCATATGATGAAGCACTGGTTCAGTGTCCTTGGACATGCAATCTTCATTTTTTTTAAGACTGGCATCAGTGAAGCCATCAGTGAAAATTGGTTGTCACTTGGAATAACGTTCTGTAGTGGGTTGTTATTTAGTGCATCTTTTTCTCTAAGAGAAATCAACACATCTTTAAGTTTAAGGATTGACTCCAGCATAAAACAGTTAGAATTCCACCTGGTTTTTACCGGAGCAATGATTTTAACATAGTTTACACGGAGCAACATACACTCTTTTTCAATAAGTTGACAAGCTAAGGTGGATCTGTGGACTTTGCTAGATAGTTGTGTGGCAATATCTATGCATTCTATAGTAGGCTAGTGTTTAGTAGGTGGTCTGCACACAACAGTGATTCATATTTTGTTTTGTTCATGATTGACACAGCATGTTTCATGTTTGCCGCCGCATCGTGGACAATGACTTTCTTGGGCACGGCGTCCAATACCGGATATTTTTGGATCATTTCTTCCAGAGCCTTAAACAAGAATGAAGAAAAATTTATGATTTATAAGATAACTTATGCAGCTTTTAGGTTTTACAATAAATTATAAATTCTTTCAATAATTGACAAAATCCTAGAAGAAACGCTATTCTAGCGGAAGGATAAGTTTTACTTTTTTAAATTATTTTTGCACTTACAAATTTATATTTACGAGAACAAATTATATCAACATAAGAAAAATTACTTTGCTAATGTGGTAACCAATGTGTCTTCCCACGAAATTGTCAAAGTTGAGAACATATTTTTTCAGTTCAAACTGACTATTGATATAGTGAAGCGTAAGAGTCATGTATGGATCCTGTGACCTAGAGGTCCAACCATCAGTGGTGATAGCCACCTGTTGACAAGTGGAAACTTCTTTTTCAATTAGGTTTTGCACAGTATCCATAACGCTTTCATAAAGCAATGGCAGCTTGTACCTTGAAAAAGTCGAGGAATGTTTCACAATTACTTTTGGATTAAAATGTTCCACCATTTCTTTGAAGCATGGTTCATCTACTAGAGTGAATGGACTACTTGACCTGGCAATGTATGACATGATTACCATGTCTGTCTCCAATTGCCTGCCTGATTGGGAAGAATATTTCCCAATAGTTCCCCCATTAACACATTTAGATAAGCCTTTTTGTGATCGTTGATCTAAAAAAACGAAATAAAAATTAAAGTTAAACATGAAAATTATCTTTATACAAGGAAAAACATTATTTTGGGAAAAATAATTAGAAACTTACTGTATGCGTCATTCAGTTCGAAAGCAGCTTCTGTAATTTCTTTAATATCTTCTTCTCTTTGGCGCTCAAGTTCAATTTGGGCTCTTAACATCGTAGCGTAGTCAGTGGGATGCTTTGTTTTCAGATGGTACCTGATACCACTAGTGGATCCATCAGTTAACTTGATTTAGATTTGACACTTTTTACATTCCCCACACTTAACACCTGACACAGTAACTTTATTGAAATAATTCCATAAAATTGTAGCTTTTATAGGCATGATTATATGATTGAGAATTACTATGGTTTTTAAACAATAAATTAATTAGTTTTGGAAAATATTTCAAGTTAACACAACAATATCGCATTTAAAATGTTATATAATATAATTTGAAGTATTTAATTCAAACAATGATTTCAAACTCTTCATGCGAGTTTATAAACAAATACATAATTTATGTCTGATGAACTTAAAGTTAAAATTTTATTACAGTAAAACGGTTTTACTGTAATAAAATTTTAACTTTAAGTTCATCAGTTTTAGTAAAACCTACCTACACAAGACAATATCTTTTTTTAACTTCGTTAGATGTGCTAAGCCTTATGAAAATGATGCTATTGCATTGCTTTGTTAATACATTTTTTTAGTTAAACTTTGATTTACGAAACATTGAGTTAGTAAGTAATAAACGTAAAAGTTTATGTATTGCTCGAGGGCATGGGAATCGTGAAATATCTGTTCGGGCGGGGAGTTATGAAATATTCCGTAAAAACCGATAAGAAACGAAACAATTTTATTGTGTTTCGTAAATAACGGTACAAATCGAAAAAATAATTTCACGTTTCGTAACAACATGATACGAAAAGAAACAAGATTTACGTGTTTCGTATAAATGCGATACAAAACAAAATGATATTTTTTGTTTCGTAAAAACGGAACAAAACGAATACTCACATTCACATACCGAAATTCCGAAAGAATACGAGCAGACGCAGACCCTTATAAAATATTATGCGCTAACTCGGTTAATTAAAAATTCGGTTGACTAATTTGATATTATTAATTTTGTTTAGTTATTTTAACGTTTAAAGATTTTTCAATTCTCTATATTCTATACTCTATGATCTATAAACTATAATCTATACGATTTTTAAATAACGGAAAATTGAGTTTAGTTATTAAGTTTAAATAAGTTACCAGTATAGTGAGGGAATTTTAACAAAAGATATCGAAATTGCAACAAAACGTTTCAGTTGATATTTTATAGAATAGCAATGATACTGTGTGTGTATATATATATATATATATATATATATATATATATATATATATATATATATATATATATATATATATATATATATATATATATATATATATATATATATATATATATATATATATATATATATATATATATAAAATATATATAAATATATATATATATATATATATATATATATATATATATATATACATTTATATATATATATACATACATATATATATATATATATATATATATATATATATATATATATATATATATATATATATATATATATATATATATATATATATATATATATATATATTCTTTAATTTGTTTTATCATTTTTAAAGATTTTTATTTGATCTAGTATTGTATTTTTTCACTCAGACTTTCAAAACTTGCAAAAAACCATAACAAAGATATATATATATATATATATATATATATATATATATATATATATATATATATATATATATATATATATGATACTTTGTGTGTCTATGTTATATATAATATATATATATATATATATATATATATATATATATATATATATATATATATATATATATATATATATATATATATATATATATATATATATATATATATATATATATATATATATATATATATATATTATATATAACATAGACACACAAAGTATCATATATATATATATATATATATATATATATATATATATAATATATATATATATATATATATATATATATATATATATATATATCTTTGTTATGGTTTTTTGCAAGTTTTGAAAGTCTGAGTGAAAAAATACAATACTAGATCAAATAAAAATCTTTAAAAATGATAAAACAAATTAAAGAATATATATATATATATATATATATATATATATATATATATATATATATATATATATATATATATATATAATATATATATATATATATATATATATATATATATATATATATATGTATGTATATATATATATAAATGTATATATATATATATATATATATATATATATATATATATATATATATATATATATTATATATATATATATATATATATATATATATATATATATATATATATATATATATATATATATATATATATATATATATATATATATATATATATATATATATATATATATATATATATATATATATATATACACACACAGTATCATTGCTATTCTATAAAATATCAACTGAAACGTTTTGTTGCAATTTCGATATCTTTTGTTAAAATTCCCTCACTATACTGGTAACTTATTTAAACTTAATAACTAAACTCAATTTTCCGTTATTTAAAAATCGTATAGATTATAGTTTATAGATCATAGAGTATAGAATATAGAGAATTGAAAAATCTTTAAACGTTAAAATAACTAAACAAAATTAATAATATCAAATTAGTCAACCGAATTTTTAATTAACCGAGTTAGCGCATAATATTTTATAAGGGTCTGCGTCTGCTCGTATTCTTTCGGAATTTCGGTATGTGAATGTGAGTATTCGTTTTGTTCCGTTTTTACGAAACAAAAAATATCATTTTGTTTTGTATCGCATTTATACGAAACACGTAAATCTTGTTTCTTTTCGTATCATGTTGTTACGAAACGTGAAATTATTTTTTCGATTTGTACCGTTATTTACGAAACACAATAAAATTGTTTCGTTTCTTATCGGTTTTTACGGAATATTTCATAACTCCCCGCCCGAACAGATATTTCACGATTCCCATGCCCTCGAGCAATACATAAACTTTTACGTTTATTACTTACTAACTCAATGTTTCGTAAATCAAAGTTTAACTAAAAAAATGTATTAACAAAGCAATGCAATAGCATCATTTTCATAAGGCTTAGCACATCTAACGAAGTTAAAAAAAGATATTGTCTTGTGTAGGTAGGTTTTACTAAAACTGATGAACTTAAAGTTAAAATTTTATTACAGTAAAACCGTTTTACTGTAATAAAATTTTAACTTTAAGTTCATCAGACATAAATTATGTATTTGTTTATAAACTCGCATGAAGAGTTTGAAATCATTGTTTGAATTAAATACTTCAAATTATATTATATAACATTTTAAATGCGATATTGTTGTGTTAACTTGAAATATTTTCCAAAACTAATTAATTTATTGTTTAAAAACCATAGTAATTCTCAATCATATAATCATGCCTATAAAAGCTACAATTTTATGGAATTATTTCAATAAAGTTACTGTGTCAGGTGTTAAGTGTGGGGAATGTAAAAAGTGTCAAATCTAAATCAAGTTAACTGATGGATCCACTAGTGGTATCAGGTACCATCTGAAAACAAAGCATCCCACTGACTACGCTACGATGTTAAGAGCCCAAATTGAACTTGAGCGCCAAAGAGAAGAAGATATTAAAGAAATTACAGAAGCTGCTTTCGAACTGAATGACGCATACAGTAAGTTTCTAATTATTTTTCCCAAAATAATGTTTTTCCTTGTATAAAGATAATTTTCATGTTTAACTTTAATTTTTATTTCGTTTTTTTAGATCAACGATCACAAAAAGGCTTATCTAAATGTGTTAATGGGGGAACTATTGGGAAATATTCTTCCCAATCAGGCAGGCAATTGGAGACAGACATGGTAATCATGTCATACATTGCCAGGTCAAGTAGTCCATTCACTCTAGTAGATGAACCATGCTTCAAAGAAATGGTGGAACATTTTAATCCAAAAGTAATTGTGAAACATTCCTCGACTTTTTCAAGGTACAAGCTGCCATTGCTTTATGAAAGCGTTATGGATACTGTGCAAAACCTAATTGAAAAAGAAGTTTCCACTTGTCAACAGGTGGCTATCACCACTGATGGTTGGACCTCTAGGTCACAGGATCCATACATGACTCTTACGCTTCACTATATCAATAGTCAGTTTGAACTGAAAAAATATGTTCTCAACTTTGACAATTTCGTGGGAAGACACATTGGTTACCACATTAGCAAAGTAATTTTTCTTATGTTGATATAATTTGTTCTCGTAAATATAAATTTGTAAGTGCAAAAATAATTTAAAAAAGTAAAACTTATCCTTCCGCTAGAATAGCGTTTCTTCTAGGATTTTGTCAATTATTGAAAGAATTTATAATTTATTGTAAAACCTAAAAGCTGCATAAGTTATCTTATAAATCATAAATTTTTCTTCATTCTTGTTTAAGGCTCTGGAAGAAATGATCCAAAAATATCCGGTATTGGACGCCGTGCCCAAGAAAGTCATTGTCCACGATGCGGCGGCAAACATGAAACATGCTGTGTCAATCATGAACAAAACAAAATATGAATCACTGTTGTGTGCAGACCACCTACTAAACACTAGCCTACTATAGAATGCATAGATATTGCCACACAACTATCTAGCAAAGTCCACAGATCCACCTTAGCTTGTCAACTTATTGAAAAAGAGTGTATGTTGCTCCGTGTAAACTATGTTAAAATCATTGCTCCGGTAAAAACCAGGTGGAATTCTAACTGTTTTATGCTGGAGTCAATCCTTAAACTTAAAGATGTGTTGATTTCTCTTAGAGAAAAAGATGCACTAAATAACAACCCACTACAGAACGTTATTCCAAGTGACAACCAATTTTCACTGATGGCTTCACTGATGCCAGTCTTAAAAAAAATGAAGATTGCATGTCCAAGGACACTGAACCAGTGCTTCATCATATGCTAACTATGCTTTATAAAACTGACAATTTTCTTCATGACCACATTGATATGGAAAACAGAGAAATAGTTAATGCTTTTTGTAAAAAACTAAGTGAGCATTTACACCTAGCCACGCGATTCAATGAACATGGAAGATACAACCAACACTATGCCTTGGGAAACCTTCTTCATCCGTACTTTAGAGGTTATAAGTTTTATTTCTTGGTAAAAAAAACATTCTTTAATATTCTTTATTTGTTAAAAGACTAAATTTAACAGTTATTGTTTATGATTTCAGGATATATGCTTAGACATTACGGTATCTTCGAAAAGTTCACCAGAAAAGTCATCAACGATCATCCATCGTCGGACGCTGTTTCGATCAGTGAAAAAAAATAATCATAAAGCTACACAAGTTAAAATGCCAGTTGGTGTGGATGAGTGCGACGATTTACAAA